GTGTATAAAAATTAATACAATAGAAATGACAGGATTGGGATATTAACTTTAGAATGTCTCTTTTAAGTAATCAAAAATGAAGATAGATTATGTTTTTCAAGATCCTTGGGTTTCATGCTCAAGAATCATTTCAAATCATAATAACTATATTTTTTTCCATCCAGTTTTCCAGAAGAAAAGTATTTTATAGCTTTTTTTTTTTTTTTTGTATGTGATTATCACAGAATATTTCAAGCAAGATGAAAGGGGCTCTGGGATCTCTGTACATACCCACTTTTGTAGCTGCATGGCCAGAAGAGGACACTTCTCAGTCCATATTGAGCCCAAGGAAGGGACTCTTGAGATGTCAGAGAGCCCAGGTCCCTTCGCCCTCCCACTGTTTCTCTAGAACTGACTGTAGATCTGATTCTGTTTCAGCTTCAGTTTCTGGGTCTGCCTGTGGCTCTGATGAGAACGGGGGCTGGAGGGAGCCTTCCTTCCATGTTGGATTACTGGTGCTCTCTGTGTTGGGATCCTTCAGGTGGGGCAGATACTTACTATTGAGAGTGGCCCATAGGGAGGTATCAATCAATCTTTTTCCAAGTCTTGCATATTTGCAATGCTACGAAACTAAGAAAATAGAATTTTACCCATTCCCTTACTTAAACTTTCACCAGACCTAGCACATTGTTTTTTTTTTTTTTGCGTGCTTGCTTCTTTTTTTCTAGGGCAAAATTTAGAGTGCTGTAATATTTCTCCTTTGGTCCCCATGAGGGGTGGGCTTGGGGATCTGGCCCATTAAAGTTAGCTATTTTGAGGGAATACTGCCATTGAGGACATCATTGTCGTTTACCTGGAGAAGTGCAGCAGCTTCCTAATTAGTCTCACTGCCTCGAGTTTTGCCCCCCTCCCCTCCGCTCTCCACACTGCAGCCAGAATGATCTTGCTGAGAATACATAAGCTCATGCCACTGCTCTGCACATGTGGGTCCTTAGGGGAAAATCCACAGTCTTTCCTGTGCCTTGCCATGCCCTTTCTGACCTGACCTGCAGCCTCGCCCTTCACCCTCTCCCCCTGCACTCTGAGCCCCTAGCCATGCTGCACTGTTTTCAGTTTCCTCTGCCAGTGCCGTGCCACAGAAATATAACGTGAGTCTCATATATGGAACTTAAAAGATTCTAATAGCTACATTAAAAGAAAGGGAAATGGGAGAAATGAATTTTAATAATACATTTTATTTAACCCAGTATATCCAAAATATTATCAGTGCAACATGTAATCAGTGTAAAATCTATTAATGAGATAATGTGCATTCTCTTTTTTGTACTAAGCCTAATGAGATGTGTTTCAATCTGACTTTTTTTGTGTGACGTACCACCCTTATAGCACATTTCAATTCAGACTCTACCCTTTAAGTGCTCAGTAGCCTCATGTGGCTAGTGGGTCCCATACTGGACAGCATAGTTCTCGTGGGTTATGCTCTCTCTCACCTCTAGACCTTCACACCTTCTGTTTCCTCTTCTTGGGATACTCTTTTCCTTCTCCTCCTTCACCTGATGAACCACCATGTGTCAGTCAAGTCTCAGTTTAAAATTTACTTCCCCTAGGAATCTTTCTCTGAGCCCTCTAGAGTGAACAAGATGCCTTTACTTTGGGCTCCCAGAGCATCCTGTTCCTCTACCACACCACGTTACCATACTTCATTATGATTGCTTTTAAATGTTCTTCTGTCTTCCTGTTGAACATGGCTTTGTGAGGCAAAGAGACCTGTGTCACTAGCAAATACATATTAAATGAATGAACCCTCTGCCTCCCTCTTAGGATCTCTGGGTCTGTTCTGTCCCTCAGATATTGTGGAAGGAAACCTGAAGTCTATCATGAGGCTGGTCCTTGCCTTGGCAGCTCATTTCAAACCTGGCTCCAACAGGATGGTGAGCCAAGGAAGGGACCCCAGAGCCCCTCTGCAGAGTCACCAGCCACACTGCGCCACTGCTGTGGCCCAGGGAGCCGCTGTCGCTCTGGCTGATGTGTGTCATGACATGTCACGGTCAGGACGGGATGTCTTTCGATACAGACGGAGGTAAGCGTCGAAATCTGGGGATGGGAACTTGTTCCTCTGATATTTCACAGTAAATGATATCGTGCAATAGATGGATGTGTCACCTAAACAGCCCCACATTGCAGGAAAGAGCATGGAGTACCGGTCAGTGAGGACACTCCAAGAGAGAAAATCCCTTTTAAAAGAGATGTTTATTTCGCAGTTAGCAGAAAGTAAAGGAATCATATTTGTAATTTTTTGTCCTGGTGCCCAGGATGTTAAATATATGCCTTTGGCACAGTGTGTTTTCTTCACGGGGAGATATGTGGGAGCAATGTTCCAAGTCATCTGGGGGAGTCTCTCTCTAGAATGTATCCTAAAGCCAACTTATCCTGAAGACTCATGGCAGGAAACCTTTTGGGGGTTGTATGTCTGCTGGGAGAGAGCAGGACCCTGGGTGTTGCAGAGCCTGGTGAAATTGGTTGTGTTTATGTCTGTCTTCCTTACTGGGTGTCCAGTGTCTTTAAGGCAGGGGCTTGGCCTTACTCCTCTTTGTTCCCTTAGCACTCTGAGAGTGGCCGTCTCTCAGTTCTTGTTGAGTTGCCCTGAACTGAACGACGACACCCTCTCGTTTGCTGGTGCTCTCCGACTTTAGGAACAGCGGCATGGACCAGGAGATTGAGAATCCCTGCTGGAGCGTGCGGGCCCTGGTGCAGCAGTACGAAGGGCAGCAGAGGTCCCCGTCCGAGTCCAGCGGCCCCAGGTAACTGTGGTGGCAGCTCCTCAGCACAACCCGCCTGGTTAGAGGTGGAATTCCGGGGGGGGGGGGCGGCTCAGAGTTTTCAGCTTCAAGTAGCAATATGACAGGCAGTAAGGCTCCTCTCTCTTTTCTCTTTCCCTCAGTTTATGTTTGACTCTAAAGGGGTCGTCTTCAGCCCTGCTTTGTGGTTTTGTGCTGGCAGGAAGGTAGGGAGGGTGGGGTGTGGGGAAGTTTCCCACACAAGGAAGCTTTGTGTGGAGCCTGAGTGTCAGTGCTCAGCTCCGTCCACAGGGGGGCATGACTCGGGGCATGACTGGGGGCCGAGAGGGCCCAGCCCCTGGTTTGGATATTTGCGTCTCAGCCAGCGGTGTTTCTGACTGCCCGTTCCCGGCTCCTGAGCTGAACGCCAAGTGTGGCCTGAGAAGGTTGTGTCAAGCTTGTAACAAGAGAAAAAACTGAGCAGAGCTGTCTGAGAGCATTAGGATGTTTCCAACTTTCATTTACTGCGCCAGGAATTTTGGCAGATTAGTATGCATTGGAGTGGGCTAAGATGTTTGTGACTCTAGCAGAAAGGCCATCTACAGCTCTTAGAGCCAAGTGCAAAGACCAAAACAGGACACAGTGCTCTAATAAAAGCCTGATCGATGCCAAGTGTAGTGGCAGAAAAGACCACTTTCCTGGCTCATGGAAGTCATGCTCCTAAAAATACATCCCTGGATCATGTCAGCTTATTTACTAACTTCATTTCATTGCTGAATCATTTTTAATTTATGCTTGTATGACCTTTTCTCTCCTACCCAGCCCAGCTTAGTCTGTTCTAGTTAAGCCTAATTGTTCTTATATATATCTTATATGTTCTTTTTTTTTTAAGATTTTATTTATTTGGCAGAGAGAGAGAGCACAAGTTGGGGGGGGAGTGGCAGTCAGAGGGAGAGGGAGAAGCAGGCTCCCCGCTGAGCAGGGAGCCCGTTGTGGGACTTGATCTCAGGACCCTGGGATCATGACCTGAGCTGAAGGCAGATGCTCAACCATCTGAGCCACCCAGGCGCCCTCTTACATGTTCTTATATGTATCTTAAGCGCATTTATTTTGTCTTTCTGTTTCTTTTCCACATAAAATTCCATCTTAGATTGATAGACCATTTAATTTATTGAAGCCACATGGAATTCTTCCCAGCATTTTAATATACTGATAACCTTGCTCAACTTTAATTTTTACATTTAGTAGATTGCTTTTTTATTTATAAAATTCACATAACATAAAATTAGCTACTAATCATTTTAAAGTGTACCATTCAGTGGCGTTTAGTATCTTCGTAATGTTGTGTGACCATCACCTCTATCCAGTTCAAAGACATTTTCATCACCCCAGAAGAAAACCCTGTACCCATTGAGCTGGTGTGCTAGTAATGAGAATCTAAACCATTTCTTCCTTGATTGCTGCTTAGACTATCACTTGGTACAGAATCAAAGGACATCTCCTTGTATAATGAGATCTGTTGCTTCCTGCATGGCTACAGGCCTTTCACTTTTTTGTGCCTGCCAGAGTTAAAGTGAGAGAGAGTGAGAGAGAGCCAGAGAAAGAGAGAGGGAGCACGCCAGAGCGAGCCAGAGGAGAGAAGTCTGGATTTCTTCCTGAGAACACCTGCTTCCTTCCTTTCTGGCAGGAGAACTCAGACTGGGGCAGGGGCTGTGACACAGTGAATTAGGGACCCCCTGGAAATCGGGCTGCAGGAGGCAGAGTTTTTCTGGGAGAGGGGTCAGGTAATAAGTCGCATCCCCCTGTCTGTCGCTCCTTCCTGATTTTTTTGTCATTTTCTTCTAAGCTGACCTCTCACTTACATCTTTGGGATGCTGGGTCAGCACCCTGCGTTTTCCTCCGTGAGTTGCCGGGACCCAGCAGGCTCTGGAACATTCTGCCCGCCCACCCCCTTCCTCAGGGGGAGGCCACCTCATGGCTCAGTGACCCATGAAGGCCAGGAGACCCCGCGATGTGACTGTGAACGGGGAGCGGCTCAGGAGATGGGAAAGGTGGCCCCCCTCTGCCCTTCGAGAGACACCCCGGCGGAGCCCTGGCCGCCTGTTGCTCCGTAGACGTCGGGTCAGCCTCTTACTGTGTCCAAGCAAAATGATCCTTAGTTGGGAAACAAGAACACATGCAACGCCCAGGGGAAGGTGGGAGGAGAGCAGCGTTCGGCGGGTTTCTGGGGTCGACCCTGAGTCTCCACCCGGCCAGGCTCCTCCACTCCGGCGGTGAGCCTGGTGACACCCGCCCCAACCTCCGTGGCCGCGAAGGGAGGGGTCGGCGCAGAAAGGGCGTTTCCACCCCTTCTCGGGCCTCGGCGTCCGCGGCCCCGCCCCTGCCCAGCGCAGGGCTCCCGCTCGGCCTCCCCAGCCCGCCCCGCCCGTGCCTGGTCCGAGCCCCGCGCTGCCCGCCGCGCTGACAGCCTGGAAGCGGGGGCGGCGAGGGAAGGCGCGGGAGGGGGTGCGGAGCCGGGGCGCCCGCACGCTCTCCGCCGGGACCTGACCGCGCAGCGGGAGCCGCGGGCAAGCGCTGCCCCGCGCCGGCGATGGGGTGAGATGCCCGCGCCCAGGGGCACGGCCGGAGTCGCGCGGCCGCGGACGCCGCGATGCCGCTGCCAGGGACCCGCAGCCTACGAGGGGAGGCGGCTTCCGCCCAGGCCGGGCTGCTGCAGCGTCTGAGCGGCCGGGACCGCGCGCCCCAGTCCCGGGAGCATCTCCGTCCTCGGGGCCGAGACGCCCGCCTCTCTGCCTTTCTGACTCTCTGCCGCGGTCGGGGCCCGCGGCTCTGGTAGCCGGCCTGCCCGTGGAGTGGTTCTGCGGGCCCCAGCGTGGGGAGACATGCCCGGATTCGGGAGCGCCGTGACTCCCAGCCTCCCGCTTCACCCGGGGAAACAGGCTCGCTGAAGCCGGAGCCAGGAGGGGGACCATGGGAGGGACGCAAGTCAAATGGTGAGCAGAAGCCACTTTGGCTTTGGAGGTGGGGAGCATGGGCGGGAGCAGGGCCTGGACCGGAGGATGCTCTTGGTCAGAGACGGACCGGGATGGGTGGGGGCGCTGTATTGGGAAGGACAGGCTGCTGGTCTGGGATTATCACTACAAAATACAGTGGGTTTAGGAAACTGGAGCCAGCATAGGGGAGGGAGGAGTGGCCCTTTACCTTGTCCTGTCTCTGCTGTGGGAGGGCACTTCAGGAGTAAACAGGACGCTTTCTTCTCACCCATTACCCATTTAAAAAAAATGATTGTACTCTGATTTGGACTTTGCTGGGGGATCGTTTGATGCTAAGATTGGAGAGATGTTAGACCTGTGGGAATTAGGAAATATATCAGTCACACCGTATTTGTAATCAGTTCCCTGATTTGAGGGAATGAGGATGGCAGGTGGGGCATTACTTGTTTACAAAATAGGGATTTTTAGCTCCTCAGGGAGAGCCTAAGCCAGGTAATTAATTAGCATTAAAATACTTTTCTGTGACCTGAAGCAGATGACTGAATGCACCATCCTCATCTCTGAGGTTCTTCTTGGGAATGTAGCAGGATTACTGCTCTGACACGTGCCTCAGGATTTTTCTTCCTTCATCTTTTCACTTGGCCACCTGGTTTCATGGTGTTACCTCTCTGTGGCCTCACACACTGGCAGCCTCAAATTCAAGAGAAATGTTGTTTTCCTTTGGCTGCTCTGCCACTCCCCCAGTGGGGTTGGATATGCAGACATCCACCTCCTCCTGCCCTTATATGGGAGACAGCTCACTTAAGAGGGGGAGGGTGGAGCTGAGCATGCGTCTCCTCTTTTAGGCAAGCAGTTTTCCAGCATCCTAGGTTCACACTCCGCTCGCCACCCCCTCCCCCCTGCGTCTCACACATACCCACTGTGGTCCAGCCAAATGCAGGCAGTAGAACGTGTCAACCATAGCACCTTGTCAGCTAAGGAAGCGTCGTTTTATCATTTCTCAAGGAAGAGCAGCTGATACAGACCTCTTTCTGCAAGCGGATCCCCATTTCTGTAGGAAGGTGAATGCGGAGCCCTGAATACTCATAAATCTATTCTCCTTATAATGACAGAGTGCCCTTCCACTAATGCTTCCCCAGCAGTTAGTTCATGTTGGCCTGGAAGTCAGATTGCCTAAGTGGTGAAAGATGGATAAGCAATTACCTTTTCTAAATATTACCACTCCTCGCCACCCTTCTACCCCTGGTCTGCTCAGGTTATGGATCTATAGATAGGGTTAAGCAACTTTCCTTAATGTGAAGCAAAAAACTGTAAATTGTTTTCTAAGGTTCTAATAAGGATAAGAATGTATTACTGGTTGAGGTCATTCCCACCAAAGCCCTTAAACTTTGGAGAACGAAGAGGATGAGACACTGGTCCTCAGGCTGCTTTCGAGGTTTTGAAATCTCTGACTACAACCACTTGTGCTCAGCTCTTGTTTTTCCTGGTTTCTAGGAAGACAAAATGTTAACTCCTGATCGAGGCTGTGAGGATTAGCCTGGGAGACTTCAGGGGCACATTAAGTGGGTCAGTGAGTCCTAGACACTTTTACTGTTGTCCTGGTGATGGATCTGGAAAGAATTCCTGAGAGGGGGCTGGGCCTAGGGACCCCACAGCCCCTGAGATTGCTTCAGAGCTGATGTTCTCAAGGTGCGGCGGCGCAGAGAAAAAAGGCTCTTCAGATTCCTTTCCCCTATCAGATGGAAACATCAGCCTCACATCCCCATTTTGTCTTGCAGATTTGCTGTTGTTCTACAGCTTTAAAATTCATCTTCCCTGAAAATCACAGCGGTTCCCTCCAAGGCTAATAGTTGTATCAGAACTTAAGAATTGAGGAGAGGTTTCTGATGATAATTTGCAAATAGTCTAGCAGGGATCTGAGTAACTCTTCGACGGTACAATCAAGTAAACCTTTCCCTTTCCCGAGCAGGTCTTTTCCCCTTTTCCTTCTGATTCCCCTTTTCCTTGTCACGTCCTGTCCTTGTTGATGTATCACTGCCCCTTTGCCCAGCCTGGCACTGTCCACAGTCCCAGCAGTTTCTCACCATGAATCATCCTCAGCATTGTCCCCTCTTTTGAGATCAGCCTAGAGCTGATCTGCGATGTTACTCTGCTGGTGATGCTTGTGTCTGTGAGTAGATTTTCCTTCCAGCTCCCAAAGCTATTAAGACACACACATATATATCAGTCTTTGAATCTGGGCCCAGGGATGGTGGTGGAGCAGGTGGTGGTGGTAAGTAAAAAGAAAAAAAAAAAAAAGAGCAAACAAACAAAACCAAACTTGGAGTTCTTTAAGATGCTAGATTACCCATCCTTCTGGTAAACCTCTTCTTTGTGAATCAGGCTTCGAGGCAGCCTTGCTGTGGAAAAGACTGGGTCATTCACTCATTTAACATTCATTTCATTCATTCAATAAGTTCATCCTGGGCTCATTCAACAAATGTTTGTTCATACTGTGGGCTGGGGACTATGTTATAGGCAGTAGGAGTAAGATGAATAAGAACATGTCTCTGGGATAAATTATGACAGTTGGCTTCTAAACAACTGTTCAGGGGCACCTGGATGGCCCAGTTGGCTAAGCATCCAACTCTTGGTTTTGGCTCAGATCGTGATCTCAGGGTCATGACATCGAGCCCCACGTCAGGCTCCACACCAAGTGCAGAGTCTGCTTGAGACTCTCTCTCCCTCTCCTTCAGCCCCTCCCCCCTGCACACTTATGCTCTGTCTCTCTCAAATAAATAAATAAATCTTTAAAAAAATAAACAACTGTTCATAATAATTGTTTGTCTTCCTTTTCCTTCCATCACAGCCTGACTTCACCCAGTCCTATCCACAGTGCAAAGAGCGAATCCATTATAACCCAGTCGGAGGAGAAGGCAGATTTTGTGATTATTCCCTCTGAAGGAATAGAGAACAGAACAGGTACTATCTGTCAGCATGCCTGGGTTGGCTCGAGGAATAGTCCTCATCTTGAAGTGTTTGGGGGTCCTGCCTCTCTACCTATAAACTCCCTGGTCTTCTCCCTCTCCATAGTCTGTGCATGCTAGGTCAGCTCTAGGGGGCTCTGATGCCTTTGAGCTAATGAAAGTGTTTATCCTCTTGCAGAATGTCACTTCTGATGTCATAGCTGTCAAAAATCTTACAGCAGTGTAGACGGGCCATTCCTCTGCTGGCTACCTATGAATTAGGAAATGACTTTGGGGCAATCCAAAAGCCTTACTCAAGTAAACAGTTTTTATTATTCCTGTGTTATAGAAATAATTTCAGTAAGTCCTTGACTTAAATATGAACCAAGAATATATAGTATGAACTGAGGTGTCCATAAGAATATAAAGAGCAGGACTATATCAGACTTTTGGTGTGACGGCCACAGAAAGGACCACAAAGAGTTCCCTTTGTTTAGACTTCTTCCGTTTCAGTTGCTCTCCTTTTTCTTACATAAACATAGAGGGAAGCATAGAAGAAGCAAAGCATGTGATTTCAATAGAGTTTTATTCATCTATAAGGGTTGTAATGAAATTGAAGCCCTCAGAAGAAAAACTGGACATAAATTCTTGCCTCTAGCCCTGGGATTAGCACCAAAGAGTCCAGTTGTGTTACTGATTCAGAAACTTGGGACCTTGGGGAGGGAGAGCATTTACTGAGTGAGTGCTCTGGGTCAGGCACCATGGAGCCCTGCACATGAGTTACCTCATTCAATCTTCACAGCAGCCCAGAGGAATTATCCTTATTACATTCACGCTTATGAATGAAGACGCTTACTCAGACAGTTTATACCCTTCTGTATTCCGTAATGCATTTTTAATGGCCAGGCACACAATTAGATGTGATAAAATAGACAAGGAAACCAGAGCAAAGAAACCATAAACATAGGAAAATAAAACGAAACCAGGGAGCGAGATTGAATAGTTTGTGCACATGTGCTCTCACTAGTTTGCTTCTTGTGTGACTCACACAGCGTCCTATGTGAAAGGGGCTTCGGTATGATGGAACGGTCAAAGGAATATTAACTCGAAGTCTCCCCTCTGAAGCTTCGCAGCAACCAACGAGAATTTAGTTTTCATGGCAACTGGCAGCTCCTCTCTTTGTACCTGGCAGAATCCAGCTTCGGGGACGCCAGTTCCAGAGACTTAAGAGTAGGGTCTATGTGTCCCATACCGAGACTCCCCAGGAGGGAATCTTACTACTTCTTAAAGGTTCTTCAGAGGATCCCTTTCCCCAACCTCGGAGTCTGAGTTCATAGCCAGTTCTTTGTGTCTCACAGCCCCACCTGGTGGAGAGTCTCGTTTGCGCCGTGTGGACAGGTTCGGAAGGCAGGTGACCTGAACCCGTGAACGCGGGGGACTGTGAGCGCTTTCTGCTGGAAACTGTCTTCTTCAACATGAACTGTACTCCCTCCTTCCATTTTGTAGAGGAGACAGATTCTCCATTTTCCCGAGACTGGCGACCAGGCAGCCCCGGGACCTATCTGGAGACCTCATGGGAAGAACAGCTGTTGGAACAACAAGAACATTTGGAAAAAGAAATGGAGGAAGCAAAGAAAATGATATCAGGATTACAGGTAGCTCTTTCCCGTGTGGTTTATCCTGGGTGCACCGATCGATGATTATTTTTAATTCATGAGGATCAATTGAAAATAAACTGATTCAGTTTCATATGAGGTCAGAGTTGAAGGGGGAGTTTAGACAGAGGGAATAGCACTCAAAGAGCAGAAAATTCTTTTTTTTTTTTTTTTTTTAAAGATTTTATTTGACAGAGAGAGACAGCCAGAGAGGGAACACAGGCAGGGGGAGTGGAGAGGGAGAAGCAGGCTTCCCAAAGAGCAGGGAGCCCGACATAGGGCTCGATCCCAGGACCCTGGGATCATGACCTGAGCCGAAGGCAGACGCCCAACGACTGAGCCACCCAGGCTCCCCAAGAGCAGAAAATTCTTTATGTGTGAGTACTCCTAAGTGGACCTTGCGGACTCTCGTTGACAGCACAGCTGTTGGGATTTCTGTAAGCCTGGGAGCCATTATGGACCCCTACCAAACCCCTCTTCTGGCTCTTTGCTCATAGGCGGGTCTCTCCCCATCCGCAGCTACAGACCTGCAGTCGTGGGGCTTTCCCAGAGATAGGCACAGCAAACAGTCGGGAATTTGTCCCTAGGAAGAGTTCAAGAGTTCAAGTAATGCCGCAGGTCTCCATTTGAGTCTAGCTAAGGGATTTAGCTCCCCCCTAATGCATTTGTAAGAGGCTGCCAAGCCATAATGATCAGGTAACAGGTTTTCCTCGAGCAACAAAGCCCTTCAGTCTTTTCTATACCTTTGTGCCAGTTCGGCAATTCTCCCCCCTCCACCCCCCCCCCAGGCCGATTGACCCACTTGACTTAGTTCCTACCCAGAATGACACCCCCCCCAGGTCCTCTGTCTTTGTGCGTCTGTCCCTGTTTGCGGGAGCCCTTGTCGTGTGCTGATGACCCTGAAATTGCCTAGGAATATTCCTTTCTGTTTGTGCTGGGTACTGCACTGCTTCTGAATTGTCAAATATTTATGGATACATAAACAAAGCCCACATTCTGTGAGTGGCTCTGGCTACCGGCAGGCGGTGGAGGGCGTGCTCCCAGCCAGCCAGCAACGAGGTGGGGACACAAAGGGTTCTGAAAGAAAAAAGGAGATTGGTGCTGTGGAGAAACAGTTTGCATAATATATGCCCCAGGAGCTGACAAGGGCTGGAGGAATGTTTACTGCCTAAACATTCCCAAGGAGAGTTGTTGATTTTTCCCCATTGGCTTTGTTATTTTTTAAAGGTCCGCCTTTGAGATCTCTTATCTGCCACTCCATTAAGGACTGGTTTAATTAATGTGTGCTAAGTTTGGGATCATACCCAACCAGGTCTTTCCCAGGATGATTTGCATTATATGAACATAGATATCCATCAGTTTGGCTTTCGGTTTAGTTTGCATTTTTCAGGCTGGGAGAAATCCGATGGCAGATTAGACAGAAAAAGAAGAGATTTGACAGGCAGAAAGTCAGCACCCTAATATTCCCTGCAAACAGAGTTGTTTTAATTCACAGCCACATGATCACAATGAGAATTCAGTTCCATTATAGAATACAATGGGGCTCACAGCATCCACTGGGCTTCTTAACTCTTTCAGTGATGAGGAAGTTGCATGCTAAGCCACATCCAGGATTTCTGACTTACTAGTATGCCTCAGTTAGAGCCCGCTCAACACTTTGCCACTAACAGAGTTAGTGTTTCTGTGACGTTGCTCCCCCTTAGCTCCCCGTGGTGTCTTACAGTTGTCTTACACCTCTTGCCACACTCCATGGGCTAGCCAAATTCATTTGATTTACTAACGTTTTATTATTAGTTAGTGCTTGGTAGACCAACCAGTGGCTGGATTTTAAACAGTTTTTATATACCAGCATTTGTGATGTAATTTGTGTTACATTTATTGAAACAGGATTTAACCTCTGTAACTCTTGATTGAATTGAGACAGAATTGAAATATAAAATGGGGACGCACTCTTAAATCTTTCACTGAGCTGATAGGTCCCATGATACCTACCTGCATGAGCAGTTCCAAGTTTTGTGAGTGCTAAAGAATACAGTTTTGGGGGCCTTCTTTAAGAATAAGATTACAGATTATGAGTACAGTTGCTCTTTGAACAACTTGGGGTGGGGGATGGCTAGGGGCACCAAACCCCTGCACAGTCGAAAATCTGCATATAACTTTTGACTCCCCCAAAACTTTACTAATAGCCTACTGTTGACTGTAAGCTTTACTGATAACATAAACAGTTGGTTAACACCTGTTTTGATTGTTATATGTATTACATACTGTGTTGTTAAAGTAAGCTAGAGAATAGAAAATGTTAAAGTCATAAGGAGGAGAAAATATACTTGTAGTACTGTATATTTTGTAAAAAAAAAAATACTCCATATCAGTGGACCCGTGCAGTTCAAACCCATGCTGTTCAAGGGTCAAGTGTACAATATTAGATCGGGGCTTTGGGAGGGTCAGTGCATGTGAGGGGCCCTAGGGTTTGAGCTTCCCTCCCCTCGATATTCTAAAGAAAGCAAAGCCTGTTGTGGGGAGTGGAAATGAAGGAGGACATCTCTCTGTAAATACGTTTTCCTTCTTGTTCTATACAGGTTGCCCTAGGGAGTAAAAATTCAGAGTTATTAAAACAAACAAAAATCCAACAAACCCAAGTCAGTGTTCTAAATGTATTTTATTTTTTTAAGATTTTTTTTCATTATTTTAGTAATCTCTACACCTAACATGGGGCTCGAATACACAACCCTGAGATCAAGAGTTGCATGCTTTACAGACGGAGCCAGCCAGGCGCCCCTAAATGTATTTAAAATAATTCATTGTAATAAACTTATCTAAGGAAGGATAATTCTTACTGCTTTTAGTTCACTTTCCAGTTGTAGAATTCATTTTGAGCAGCTGGGGCCAAGAAGCCTTGGAGTGGATGATTCAGGTGCATCCAGAGAGATGAAAGGGTCCTAAGCATTAGCCCGACAAAAGGAACTCCCGATAGACCCAAGATGAAAAATTGGAGGTATCTAAGGACCAGAAATTACCAAGGAGATTTTGATAGGAAGCTCAGTTGTGATTTCAATTTAGGAAAAACTTACCAAGCTCAACTCTGGACTCAGTCATCTGATGGGAGTCCATTTTCTTTCTGCTTCTGTGGTTATTTAGGCCTTACTGCTCAATGGATCCTTACCTGAAGATGAACAGGAGAGGCCCTTGGCCCTCTGTGAACCAGGAGTCAATCCTGAGGAACAACTGGTGAGTTCCTTCTTTTGTGACTGGACACCAGATAATCTGGTTTCTGTGTCTGATTTGCTTTTAGCTTTTGACTCTGTTGTCCTCACCTTCTTGAAATGCTCTCTTCCCTGACTCAGCCTCTCCGGGTTTTCCGCATATATTTTTGACTACTCTTTCTTCCATTCTCCTTCCCTCCCTCCCTCCCTCCCTCCCTCATCAACAAATAGTTATTGAGTGCCAACTCAATAACTGTGAGTTGAAACTGTGCCCGGCACAGTTTCAAGGTACTGGAGATTCGGTGATGACAAAGCAGACCTAAGACATCACCCTCATAGAGTTTACATTCAGGTTCCCTTTGAAGCATCTCTTTTTCTGCTGATGCCTTAAATGCCGGTGCTCCTCAGAGTTCCCCTCTGGGCCCTCTGCTGTCTTATCCATTCACGTGGGCAGTATTATCTGCCTCCATGGCGCCCCTCACTTCCCGCCTGACTCAGATGTTGCTTCTCAAATATTGATTTCTAGCTCGGTTCTCTCTGCGGAGTTGTAGATTTGTATGTGCAGCATGTAACCACCTGCTGATCATCTCCACTTACATGTCCCATAAGCATCTCACTTCATTGATTCATAAATTAAACAGCTTTTCTCTCCCCACCACCAAAACTACTTGTCCCTTTGCATTCTGTTTCTGATCACTGTCCATCCACCCAGATACCCAAAATATCATCCTTGAATCCTTCTGGCCCTTCCCTCTAGGTCCAGTAGGTCACCCAGCTCTGTCTGTTCACTTTTTAAATATTTCCATCCACTTCTCTCCATCTACACAGCCACGACCTTAATTCAGGCCTCCATCCAGTATGCTAGCAGCCTTCCAGCTGGTTTTCCTGATTCCTCTCCTGTCCTCCTCTAATTCATTTTCTAATAAACAGCAACAATAATTTACCTCCAAGGCAAGCTTCCTTTTGTCATCCCTCTGCTTTTTCTCCGACCCCCGGGACCCAGCACATACACACTTGTCTGAACTTCATCCACAGTCCTTCCCTTGCACTGCCCTGTCTGTGTGTGTGCTTCCACCAGGGGCCGGGCGGGGAGCTGCCGCCTGTCCTCCTCTGAACTCACAGTACCAGGCTAGCACCAAAAAGGTGCTCAGTACATATTTGTTGAACGAATGACCTCTGAATTTCACTGCATAGCCATCTCTTTGTGCCTTATATTTAGATTATAATCCAAAGTCGTCTGGATCAGAGCAGGGAGGAGAATCAGGACCTAAAGGTATGTCAGAACATGTGCCTTTTTCCCCTTTGAAAAAATTTATGGGAGTATCACACACCAGCGTCCGAACAGTGATGGATATAGAGGAAGGGATGCAGACTTGGGACTTCAGCTGTGTCTGTTTTATGTCTTTAATTGAAAGAGAGAGACAGGTCCTAAATATGGCAAAAAAGTAATGTCTTTTCAGTCTTGGTGGTGAGTAATAGTTCTCTGTGTCATTGGTTCGACCTTTCTTTATGTTTTAAATGTTTCATAATTTTTCTTTTTTAATTAAAAATGGGTCTAATATCAGTATGGTCTTTTTTGTTTTTATTTATTTTTTTAGATTTTTAAAATTGATTTGAGACAGAGAGAGAATGCGCACGTGCGAGGATGAGAGCACGAGGCGGGGGCAGAGGGGGAGGGACAAGCGGACTCCCCGCTGAGCAGGGAGCCTGCCGAGGGGCTGGACCCCAGGACCCTGAGATCATTGCCTGAGCCAAAGGCAGACCCTTCACTGACTGAGCCACCCAGGCGCCCCCAGTATGGTCTTTTTAAAATAATTTTTTAATAATTTATAAGGTGTACAACATATTGATTTGATATATGTATACATTATGAAATGATCACCACCACACATAGTTACACATTTTTTTCTTTTAATGAGAACTTTTCATATTTACTATCTCATCAACTTTCAAATACATTAATACAGTATTATTAACTATAGTCCACTATGGTCCTTTATAATGACTTCTTCCCAGAATGCTTTTAGTTCAGTGGGTTTTAGTTTTTTTGGAGTCATAGGTATATGACCATAGCCATTAGCGCTCTCTCCAGGAATATGCATAGTATGTGCGCACACACTCAACTGACTTGAATTTTTAATAGAATTACTTTCGAGTCCATCTGTGGAGCCCGTGTTAGGAATTCCCCATTTTAGATATGGTAATTCCAAACTCTTAATGTGATTCAATAGAAAAAGAAGAGAGCAGGGTCTGGGGTATGGGTGTTCCTCTCCTAAAATCTTTCCTAATGACAATTATATACATGTATTTAATCTATTGTAAAGAATGGATGATTAGTATTTTATTATTGGGCTGAATGTGTTTTTGTTTGATTTATAAAGAATAATGCCCACTTGGACAATCTAGAGTATTCTAACCCTTTGCTGAACAAATGACATTGGGGGTAGGCATATTAAGATACGATTATGTGTTTCAGTAAGGGAGACGTAGGTTATCAGGATTAGGTTTTCCTGTCAGTGAAGAGTGCTAAATGTAGGAATGAGAGTCTGTGGGAATGTCTGGTATCTTCTTTCTTGGCAAGACTTCTCTACCTGCATTTGGGCCTGGGTAGCACAGGGAAGAACGGATGGGTCTCGTTTTCGTCTCTGTGAGGCAGACTTTACTGTTTACTGGACCGGACCTGCTTTCTGCCTCAGGAGAGGGTTAATTGTTCATGGAATGGTTATCTGAGTTTTGTGTTCTTACTGACAGAATGAGGTAATGCTTCTGATGCAACCCAGATGCTACCATCTGATCTAACTGTATTTGGTTTGCAGAAGGAGCTGCTGAAATGTAAACAAGAAGCCAGAAACTTACAGGGGATAAAGGTAAAAAGGAAGACATTTAACCCTTTAAGTAAACAAACTCTACCTGGTAAAGCTGTCTACTGCTGAGTGTGAGTGGGAGTGGGAGGAGGGTAGTTGGGTCTGTGGGCTTGTATACATCTGCGGGAGCCTTGGACAGGCCGTGTGATGCTGGCAAGTGCTTTGTGGATGGGAAGTGAGACCCGCTGAGGAAAATACCTGTGTTTTGCTGAGGCTTATTTCTGGTGGTTACGACTCATGCGCTGTCCCTTCCCCCTATGGCACCCTGGCAGTTTTTATATGTAAAAACAATCAGTTTTTACAGTTTTCTTCAACTCTAAAGAAGAACGTCCTCTTAAACATTGTAATTTACGTAGTTTGTGAGTAGTTAATAATAGTAAATGGCTTGAAGTAAAGAAGGTCTAAAAAGATAATCTTTGAAAAATCTGTCTTCCAGCCCTGTTCTCCACTCCCGCTCCCCCATCGCCCCCCCGCCCCGCCCGCCCAGTCACCTAGTTCTCTTTCCTGGAGGTAACTTAGCAGTTATCAATAAATATGTATGTATATGATTTTTCCCCCAAATAATAGTATATTATACATGCAGCTTGACATGTTGCCCTTTTTTACTTAGTAGTGTATCTTGGAGATCATTCTATTGATACATAAAGACCTTTCTAGATCTTTTTTTTATGGCTGCATAGTATGCCAATGTATATTTATATGATAATGTAATCAGTTCCTATTGATGGTCTTTTAGGATATTTCCAGTCTCTTCCTAATACAGTGATCTGGCTAACAGCCTTGAATATATGTTGTTTCACCCAAGTGGGAATGTATCTGTTGAATAAACACCTAGAAGTGCGAATGGATGTTCTTAAGCTGCTGCTTTCCCCCTCTTCTCTGCACTCCCATTCATGGGCTAGACTGGAGGGCAGCTCAGCAGTGTTTGTCAGAGAGTGTATTTCATAGCCTTAATCCTTTGGGGTACTTCAGAAAACAAAGTGTTCTGTGCTCAAATAAGCTTAAGAAAGGCCCTATAGGTTGGAGGAGTCCCAGTGAATAACACCATACTAAAGGACCTGAGAAAGTCTGTCATAAAAAGGTTGGCTTAAAAAAGTTTGAAATTATTAACCACAGAAGTGCCTTTTCTCCCATGCAACACTTACTAACACTTTGGGAAAAGTTCTCTGAACTGCTGATGCCAAGGGGCATCTTGGACAACCTTTGGCACGTACTGTCGTGGCTGACAGTGTACTTAAGAATGGACCCTCACATTCTCTGGATCCTGCACCATTGCTTTGCAGTCTGTAAAGAGAGAAAAGTCAGGGCAAATACACTGCAGTGCAGCTCCAATCCATGAGCTCCATATCAGGCCACCATGGTTGGAAAAATGTGTTCCAGCTGACCCTTTTAAGTATGTACAACCCGCATTTCTTAGGCATGGTAGGAACCAAGAGGTTCCAAGCTGAGAGAAAGATACCCTAAAGCTGGTAAGACTGTAGACAATGGGAAGAGAAACCATCAGTCCAAGAAGAGTTCTGAGCATGGAAATAGAATCCCAAATCCTGGTCCAGACTCGGCGTTGGAAGGCAATGGGAGCAGGGTGGGAGCAACGCTCTGGAAGACAGGGTGGGAGTGATTCCAAGGATTCTGTATGAACAGGGTGGCAGGCAGAAGTAGGGTCCAGCCCTCTAGGAGATGGGGACTTGGCAAAGAATGAGAAGGAAAAAGAGCTCATCTAGATTCACTATTTAAATGCCCAAGATACGGATGAGAAAGCCAGGGTGGGAGGAAGGCGAGAGCATTGTCCATGGTCACTGTCGTGAAGGTAAGCAGTAGACTTGTAATTTGAATCTCGGTCTGTCAGATCCCAAAAGGCACTGACTCTCTCTCCAGGGCATCATGCTGTCAGGAATGCAGTGGAGGGTAGGGGTGAATAATAGGTGGAGGAAAAATCAGGTTTCAGTCAGCTAGGTAGGACAATGGATAGGACTTTGCTTTAGTTGCTAGCATCCTGGAAAGGGACAGAAGAATTCCTGCTCATCTCCTTATAGCCAGACCTCACACTCTTTTTAAAGTCTCCTAGTTTGCCAGAACTAATGCTAGATACGCAGTAAGGGGTTTAAAACTTGTAGTGATAACTGGCTGATTGACTAATTGGGACCACAGTAATGAGAATGCTTTTTTCCCCAGGATGCCTTGCAGCAAAGGTTGACTCAACAGGACACATCTGTTCTTCAGCTCAAACAAGAACTGCTGAGGGCAAATATGGACAAAGATGAGCTGCACAACCAGAATGTGAGCTAAATGAATGAACTCGGACTTCATTGAGCCCCAGTAGCAAAATAGGATACATGAAGTCCTGTTAGACGTGCCATCCTAATCTCTCTTAGCTTATTTCTGAGGTGCCCGCCCTCCATGTCTGCAATTAGTTTTACTTCCTATTAGATTCATCTCTGCTCCTGGCTGGAAGCCCATTTCACACTGGCCTCGAGCCCTTCGATTCTGAGGACACTGAGATAGAGGCACAACTGTGGTGCAGCCGTTTGATTATCTTACTGAACCGGGAGCAGCCTCAGCACAGCCGCGTGTTTTCACCATAGAGCCCTCTCTGGGCTCTATACTCTAGCGGCCAACTTCAGCCCTGGTTATTACGTAGCTGGTTTCCTACCAGGCTTGGCAGACAATACCTCTGTGCCAGTGAATTCTCCCTTTTCCTTCTGGCAGGTGGACCTGCAGAGGAAGCTAGATGAGCGGAACCGGCTCTTGGGAGAATATCAAGTAAGTATGCGTATCAGTTTGGAAAGGATTTCCATTTGACCTTTTATGGACGTTCTATTGTTGCTCTTGTTCAAAGAGCTCTTAAGTACCCTGTTCTCATTGCTGCTTTCTGCAAGGAAACCTTCTGTGTGCTTTTGATTCAATAACCCTGAAGAATAGATAGCATGTCTGCGAGCAGGAGTATAAAAGTAGCTGTCTGGAAACTTCCAGCTCAACCTTTATGTCTAACTAGCATGCGTGGCATGTAGTGGTCCTCCTACAACTGGTAGTTCCTTCCTCCTTACATTTCCAAGACTCCTTTATGGTGTCACATGACTACGGTGTGGAATTTCTTCCTGTGTGGCTTGAGGAAAGGACTCTTTCCCCTGAGGCTCTCCTTTGCTCTGGTGGAACTTGCCGGCCCGCGGTGAGCTGTTCAGCACACTTGGCTTTCCTACCGTCTTGAAAGCTCTGTCTCGATTGCAGAAAGAGCTGGGGCAGAAGGAGCGCCTCCTCCAGCAGCACCAGGCCAAGCTGGAAGAAGCCCTCCGGAAGCTTTCTGAGGCCAGTTACCAGCAGGTGGGAACATAGTCACTCACTGACTTCCTGCCCCTCCAGCCTGAAGACATCCTTTTCTGATTTAGTCTCTTATTGGCAGGTGGATCTAGAGCGGGAGCTGGAACAGAAAGACGTCCTTTTGGCTCACTGTATGAAAAGAGAGGCAGATGAGGTAACTGGCACCTGCCCGCGCCCCCCCCCCCAGCAGGGTCAAAGAGGCTATTTGGCGAGGGGGTTAAGAGTGCAGGTTCCAGGGCCTCCTGGCTGGCTCAGTCACAACAATATGTGACTCTTGATCTCAGGGCCTTGAGTTCGAGACCCACACTGGGTGTAGAGAATACTTAAATAAATAAAACTTAAAAAAATTTGAAAAGAGTGCAGGTTGCAGGCAAAGAAAATCTGACTTCGAATTCTGGCTTTTCATACTTGTTGCCATCATCTGACCTTAATTTGCTTTGCTTCTGAGCCTTAGAAATAAGACTCATTGAAAAAAAAAAAAGACTCATCTGAAAAGAAAAAAAAGAAATGACTCATCTGGAAAATGGATAGTCCACTTGGCACAAAGCCAGGCTCAAAAATATTAGTCATTGTTCTTATTTTTTTTCCTCACCGAAGTGAAGCCCGGAGGTGCCGGAGCAGTGTGCTCAGGCCCCCCAGTGGCCGGGCTGAGGCGAGGTTGGGGGTCTCCAGGCTGAGGCTTCCATTTTGCTCATTCCTCATTCAACAGTGCCAACCAAGTATCAAGTACTGGGGTTACAGCCGTGAACAAAAGGAGGGAAAAAAAAAAAGTCTGTGCGCTCATGAGGCTTATATTCTAATTGAGAGCAACATGAACAAATACACAATGATATACTATGTCAGGAAGGGATAAGTGTAAATAAGAAAAATAAGACAGGACATCTTGGTTTGGAATTCTCCCTTATAACAAGCATCACTTCTTCTTGCTGCTATAGGTGACCAACTGCAACAGTCACAGCTCTCAAAGCAATGGTTTTCTCCTTCCAGTGGCAGGCAAAGGAGCCGCTTCAATCACTCACAAAGGGGTAGGTTCTTAGGATTTGCGCGCAGACCTCCCCTTCCAGCTAAAACCAGAAGAGTAGCCTAGCCGTTGCCAGCGCCCTGGGCCTTTTGTACCCCAGTTCCCAAATTCTTGCGTTTGTTGAGTGCGTAAGATGTGAGGCGCTTGCTATCCACCATGATAATTAGCGGGCAAACAGTAGGCCCGCTTCTGTGCAGGAAAATTTCTTACCATTCACACCTCCTCCCTCGAAAATAAAAGACCTGTCCTGGGAGGCTCTCTCCTGTACCAACTTAAGCCCAGTGGTTGGGATGTGGTTAATCGTATGGTGCCGTGCCTGCTCTGCAGCACCTCCCTTCTGCCCACAGACCAGCGACCTGCAGCTCGTTCGTGATGCGCTCCGCAGCCTGCGCAATAGCTTCAGCGGCCACGACCCTCAGCACCACACCATCGACAGCCTGGAGCAGGGCATCTCCAGCCTGATGGAGCGTTTGCACGCCATGGAGACCCAGAAGAAACAGGACAGAAGGGTAATCCTCTTCCTGGGTGCTTCTCTTGGGCAAGCACCCAAAGAACTTAGTTTGATCAAGTTTAGTTTAGGTGAGGGCCATGCTAAGACAGGAAGACCCTGGCCAAGGTTTTCCTCTAAATGGAGCCGACTCTTCATCAGGAAAGACGTTCGTGATAACTCTTGCTCCTAGAAATTGCGTGTTTAAGGAATTGTGGTTCTTGACCCCACGGGGGGGTCTCTCTTTACTGCTTCTTGCCCTTCCTCTTCTCCCCTGAATGAGCTTGACATTGGATGTGGAAATAATATGGGAAAATGCACTGGAAACTAGAAAGCCTTTTATAAATGTACATCATTATTGTTAGGATACACTGTCCAATTTTATATACTGTGGAAGATGTGGTAGGAAAGTATATATTCAGGTACAGTTTTATTATTTACATTTCTTGGATAAATTCTCCCACTGATCATAACTCTTCACATTTTTGTGTGGCTCCTCAGGTTCGGGGCAAGTCACCCAGAACTCAAGCAGGTAGTGAATACCGGGAGTCCTGGCCCCCTAATTCAAGTAAGTACTCATTATTGCTCAGTAAGGACTCCCTAGCACATTAGATCAGAAATTTCGTATTTTTCTTGCTACCAACATTTTGAGAGTAGAATTTTTCTTGTGGTACTTCACTCTTACATTGTTTCTGTAGCAATACTGAAATCAAGTTACTTCTACGACTCTGAAGACACATACCATCGTCATCACCACCATCACCCCAAGTACCATTTAGCCACTTGCAGGATGCTACTGACTCAGGCTAAAATATCTTTGGAAAATCTACAGTATCAAAACATTTACACTGAACACAGCAAAATATAAAACAACAAGAACACACACAAACCATCCGACAGTCCCAAATAGCACAGAAAATTTCCAGTTCTTCCTGAAGGCAAGAAGTTTAATTTCTTTGGAGATTTTCCTTAAAACCAGGTGCTCAGGTCTTTCAGTTTGAGTCCTGCAAAAGATTTGCGCCACCTAGTGGCCACGCCTGAGAAGTAATTTAACCTGCTCTATGCCCTCTCCTTAGTCCTTTCCCTGTTCCTTCAAATATGCTGGAAACCTACGCTGCCTGTAATTTCTCTTTTATCGTGTATGTTACCTTTTGCTTTAATAATGTCCACATTTTCTTTTTATGGTCTACCCAGGCCTAATCTAAAAGTACATAAGAATCTACAAAAACCAAATAGTAAAAAGCTGACTGTAACCAATTTTGTCTGTTACATATGCAATTTTGAAAATTACATTAATAAAAAAAAAACAAAGTAAGACACTTAAGATATTGGCACAATAAGAAAGGTAGAATGTTTTTTCTAGGGTAAATAAAATAATATGTAAGCCTCCAGGTCCCTTTTCTTCTTGAATGAGGGATTTACATTGGGAACAAAACAAATTGTGTTAGTACCAGAATTAGTTTCAATTTCTTCTTCTAGCATTGTTTTGAAACAGTCATTTCTGTTTTCTTTTTTTTAAGATTTTATTTATTTGTCAGAGAGAGAGAGAGAAAGAGAGGGAGCATGCACAAGCAGGGGGAGCGACAGGCAGAAGGAGAAGCAGGCTTCCTGCTGAGCAAGGAGGCCTATGCTGGACTTGATCCCAGGACCCCGGGATCGTGACCCGAGCTGAAGATGCTCATCCAACTGAGCCACCCAGGCGTCCCTCATTTCTTGAGAGGCTTTTTATTTTATTGTCATCCCCTTCAGTACTTTCTTTAGGTTAATATAAACTGCCAATGCAGAGAAGTCTAAATATTTGGAAATTCTTTATTTTTTTTAAAGATTTTATTTATTCATTCATGAGAGACAGAGAGAGAGAGAGGCAGAGGCAGAGGGAGAAGCAGGCTCCCCGCCGAGCAGGGAGCCCGATGCGGGACTCGATCCCAGGACCCTGGGACCATGACCTGAGCCGAAGGCAGACGCTTAACCAACTGAGCCACCCAGGCGTCCCAGAAATTCTTCTTTAAAAGTCTAATAAATTCCTCCATTCCTGGAAAAACCCTTTTGTGTATTTGTAGTACTTATCCCAAATACTGTAAATAAATTCATAGCTGCTTGTAAACTAGGATGTTAATCTAATTTCTGTATTCACAAATGAGCTACAAGGTCTCTCTTCTGAAAATACAAAAGCTTGTGTAACTCGCTAGCCCTCTAGCTACTGGCTTTTTTCTCTTATTCCCCCCCATCAAACCTTGAAAAAATAGTCTCCCACTTGTCCTTTTTCCATCCTTTCTTCCCATTCACTACTCAAGCCACCAGTCGACTGTTACTCAGCTAATCCACTTAGTGTTCTTTTTGTTGGATCAATGTTGACCACCTTGGCCTTAATCAAAGTGGTTACTTTTCAAACCTTATCTTCCATTGCCTTTTCAAAATCACTTACTGTTCTCCTTCTGTACACGTTCTTCCTCTTTAACTTCAATGCCAACCAATTATTCATTCAACAAATATTTATTGAGCATCCATTATGTAGTACCTGTGTTAGACACAGGAGATACAGAGATGAACAGGTTGGACGTTTGCCCTATTTGGATGTGCAGTCCAATGAACTCAACCCAACACAGTCTTCTCTTGTCTTCTCTGTCAAACCCTTGAATGTCGATGTGTCCTGGGATCCGTGGGAGGTCTAGACCTAGGCCTTTTCATATTTTTTTTAGGTAATCCCTTCCACTCCCACAACTTCGATTACTCTTATGTGCTGATTATTTTTAAACTTTAATCTCTAACCCCAGCCCTTTTCTGCGTTTCAGGGCTATATTTTTGAATGACAACTAGATATCTCCCTGTAGGTAGAAAGGCACTTCAAACTTTGTGTCCAAAACTGGACACAAAGTAGAGTGAGAAAAATATGGAGTATGGAATCAAACAAATCTGGGGTGCAGTTTTTGCTCTTGGCAGAGTGTGTGATCATGGGCAGGGGTGTTAATATCACTGAATTTTAGTTTCCTTGTTCATGAAATAGAGATAATTTTGAGGGATTATGAGCATTAAGTGAAATATTGTATGCAAATAATATGGTATAGTGTGTGGCATATAAGAGGTGCAAGGGAAATGTTAATAGTCTCAAAATACCTTCCAATTATTCCCCTCTGTCTTACGCCCTGTCTTTCTCCATTTCATCACAGCCAAATCTCCTTAAAGAGTAATCATCTCTCTGAATCCACTTCTTGTTTTGCCTTTTACTCTTAAGGGAAAACAACAATAATTATTTCAGATTTAAAAAGTAATACAGTAGAGGGGCACCTGGGTGGCTCAGTCGGTTAAGCATCTGCTTTTGGCTCAGGTCATGATCCCAGGGTTCTAGGATTGAGCCCTGCATTGGGTTCCCTGCTCAGCAGGGAGTGTGCTTCTCCTTCTCACTCTCCCACCCCCCCACCCCTCTTGTGTGTTCTCTCTCTCTCAAAAAAAAAAAAAAAAAAAATCTTAAAAAAAAAGTAGTACTGTAGATTAGTGGAATAGAATTGAGAGTTCAGATAAAACCAATACATCTCTGGTCATTTGACCAGCAAATAGTCTCTTCAACAAATGGTGCTGGACAACTGGATATCCACATGCAAAAGAGTAGAGATGGACCCCTACTTCACACCCTCACACCATGTACAAAAATTAAAAATAAAATTAAAAATGGATCATTGATGTAAATGTAAGAGCTAAAGCTAAAAACTCTTAGAAGAAAACACGGGAAAATATTCATGACCTTGGATTCTCAGTCAGCAACAAAAGAAAAAATAGGGAAATTGGGATTTCATCAAAATTAAAAACTTTTTTGCATCAAAGGACACTATCAAGAAAGTGAAAAGATAAAGAGAATAGGAGAAAATACTTGAAAATCATATATCTGATAAGGATCTAGGATACAGAATACATAAAGAACTCTTACAGACTGACAACAAAAGACAAAGAAATCCAATAACAAACAGGCAAAGGAATTGAATAGGCATTTCTCCAAAGATAAACAAATGGCCAATCCACACATGAAAAGATGTTTAAAACCAAGAGTCATTAGGGAATGCATATCAAAACCACAGTGAGATACCCTAGTTCTAAAGGAATGAAAAGTAAGTGTTGAGGATGTGGAGAAATGGGAGCTCTCATACACTGCTGGTGGGGATGTCAAATGGTACAGCTGCTGTGGAAAACAGTTTGGTGGTTCCTCAAAAACTTAAATATAGAATTACTATATGATCCAATAATTCCATTCCTAGGTATATACTCAAAAGAATTAAAAACAGGTATTCAGAAAAAAAAATTTGCACACACACGTACATAGCATTATTCCCAATAGCTAAAGGGTGGAAACAACCCAAATGCTCATTACCCAGTGAATGTTTAAACAAACTCTGACATGTGCACACATGGAATATTATGCAGCCATTAAAAGGAATGAAGTATGGGTACATGCTACCACATGACACTTGAAAACATTAAGTGAATGATGCCAGACACAAAAGGGTATAAATTGGATGAATCCTTTGATATGAAAAGTCCAGAATAGGCAAATCCATAGAGACAACAAATAGAGTACATCAGACAGATGCCAAGATTGGGAAGGAGTGACTGCTTAATGGGTATGAGGTTTCCTTTTGGGATAATAAGCTGTTCTAGAACTAGATAGTAGTTATAGTGACATAACACTGAATGTACTAAATGCCACTAAATTGTACACTTTAAATGGTTAAAATGGTGAGTTTTGTGTTATGTGAATTTTACCTCCATTTAAAAAAAGTTAGTTAAGGGGCGCCTGGGTGGCTCAGTCGTTGAGCGGCTGCCTTCGGCTTGGGTCATGATCCCAGGGTCCTGGGATCGAGTCCCGCGTCGGGCTTCCTGCTCAGCGGGAAGCCTGCTTCTCCCTCTCCCACTCCCCCTGCTTGTGTTCCTGCTCTTGCTGTCTCTCTCTGTCAAATAAATAAATAAAATCTTTAAAAAAAAAATAAAGTTAGTTAAAAAAAGTAATATCCAACTGCTGGCTAGGAGGTAGAAGGCTGGAAGGAGTCTTGCTCCTACCCTAACAATAAGACAAAGTTGGGTAACCTAAAAAATATCATAACTTTCTTGAACCCATGAGAGAGATGAGCTCATAGGGCAACTGACTAGTCTCAGTACGAACGGGTGCCTCCAAGGAGAGACTGGATGCAAGCACTGGTGTACTTGTGGCAGAGCACGGGAGGAAGATGGCGCCACCATACATGAAGAATGGAAGAATTCAGCTAGGATTGTAATTGCTCAAGGCTAAGCAGAGAGGAGAGGAACCCTTGGGGCCACAGATGCAAGAGGAGTTTGCACACACTTGCAGGCTCTTTATGGACCTCTGTTGGGTGCTTATGAAAAATACTGGTTGTGGGAAGAGAGTCTAGAGAAAGCCTTTCTTGGTGGTGGAGGCCCAGAGATGGGGAGCAGCTACCACTGCAGGAAAAGCATGAAACATTCTTCCCTAAGGAACAAAAGCCTTAAGCCAATAGGGAAGAGCAGCAAATATGTTTTCCCCTCCCTCCCTGTCCCAGGCAAAGGTGAAGACCCATTATGGCAAGGGGGAAGGGAAAAAGGAAAAGAGAACTCTCTACCCCTGGGAGCCTGGTAGGACGCTGTCTTGGGCTCATATATTTGGAGGTTGTCTACCCTTGGGGGGGAGTGTAGGATCACTGCAAATGCCCCACCCTCAAGACCGAGGTTGGGGGGCGCCTGGGTGGCTCAGTCATCAAGCATCTGCCTTCGACTCAGGTCATGATCCCAGTGTCCTGGGATGGAGCCCCGCATCGTGTCGGGCTCCCTGCTCAGCGGGGAGTCTGCATCTCTGCCTGCAGCTCTCCCTGATTACATGCTCTGTCAAATGAATAAATAAAATCTTTAAAAATAAAATTAAATTAAACAAACAAACCATGGGACCAATACGTATAGATTCTGTGTAGCTAAGGGATAAAATAAGTCTTGTACCTTGCACAGTGGAAGCATGAAGTCCCTTGGAATCAGAGTTTCTAAGGTTACTTTCCTCTGTGGTTCTTGTTCCTGCTCATTTCTCTTTTCATGAATTGCACAAGCATTCTCTACCACTGTCTAAATGTTGGCAGCATCTGCAACTCCTGCTATGTGTCCATTCTTCCTTAGTTGAAATCTTGTCTGGCTTCTTTGACCTCTTTTGACTCTGAGCAACAATGCCTGTCAGGACACTCATTATTCCCTGGTAGAAATACCTGGAATGGGTGAGAAATGGTGGCCTCATGATAGTGTCCATGTCTGAAGCACCTGCTGCTTCGTGGCCCTAGCAGTGACCTCCTGTGGATCACACCCTATGGACGTGGTTGGTGTTTTGCAATGGTGTGAAAGCTGGGCTGTGACCTCAGGCAGCTTCATTCTCCTGCGGCACTTTGAATGACAGGAAATGGGGGGGTGTTGGGAGCAAATTCTGATCATGGAGTCTCTCTCTGATTGCAGAGTTGCCTCACTCACAGAGCTCTCCAGCTGTCAGCAGCACCTGCACTAAAGTGCTCTATTTCACTGACCGGTCACTTACACCCTTCATGGTCAATATACCAAAGAGGTGAGATTTGGGGATCGCTATTTCTCTTTTACTTTTTAAAAGGACAAAGTAATGACAGGAGGCAGAATCATGAGTTACTGCCCACTGAATGAGCTGAGAAGTGTTTGAGAAACAGTACGGTGTAGTAAGAATACAGATTGGGATCCTAGTTTCAGTGTCACCACTAACCAGTGGCACTACAAGGGACAAGTCATGATCTGCTGCAAGGTTCAGACACAATAATAGTGCTTCCAATCCTGATATACAGGTGTGTTCCGTTAGGAAAAATCGTTTTTTAAGGGCTCAAAACAGCCCCCATTGATAGCCATGGATTGCAGCCTGGCTCTTCAGGGCTATTAGTCATTGATCTTGGTCCTGTTTGATGATTGCATCTAAGCAACTGAGAATTCATGTTAAGAACCTTCAAACATTCATTTATACTCCCTTGTAAGGTAAATGGCTTTGAAAGAAAGACTTTTTAAACTCTGGAACCAACAACTGAGAGAGGTAATAGGATGTCCCTTTCCTGGAGAGTTCGCTTAGTTGGTCTGGGCTAAAGGGGAGCTTTCTGAAGCTGGAAGGATGAAGACAGTGATGTCTGATTTAACTCTACCAGCCTAGAGAAATGGAGTATTGTTGCAAAGAAGGAAATCAAGAGAACTTAGACATATTGATAGTTCAACAAATTAGATTTAGAGACCTTGTGATGTCTTATTTCTAGAGTAAAACAGAGAAAAGTGATCTGGCTGCTGCCGAAACAAAAAATCTATTTTAAATTCTCAGATCACCCCATCTGTAATGCTATTCTCCTTCCCTCATGGTGGCTCCCTAACCTCTGCTGTTGAATTGTCTGGGTTATCAGGGGCAGGGACCTAGCAAGGCCATGCCATTTCTGCCTGGAGAGTCTTTGGCAGGGGCCTGGCTTTAAAGCTAACAAACATCTCATCTTTCCAAAATATTGATAAACAGTCTATTTCAGTGCTCTTGCCTTTTGTTGCAGGTTGGGGGAGGTGACACTAAAGGATTTTAAAGCAGCTATTGACCGGGAGGGAAATCACCGGTATCACTTCAAAGCGCTGGATCCTGAGTTTGGCACTGTCAAAGAGGAGGTACAGAATCCCTGGGGAGTCTGGGTGGTATTACTGGTGATTCCTGAACCCCAGAGCCTCCTCCTCAGGGACCAGTACCCAAAGTACCCGAGTTCCCTAACCAGGTCAGAGGAATCTCCCAGAGCCTCAGACCAGTCTGATTACTCTAGACCGATGTGGTCAGGGAATTGCACAAGGAGTTGACAGCTTCTTCAGTTCAAGGACTTAATCACTTTGACCAAACTGGGATAGAATTCTTTATTTCGAAAAGAGAAAGTTTTATTAGTGAAAATAAAAGGACCTAAGCTTGAATGAAGGCTTGGCTTTGGGGTCCCTTCTTTATCTGTAGCCAAATCTTAGAAACCTTTCTGCTTCCTATGTCGAGCAAAATAAACAGGCATGAATATATGGAACTGTATATCATGATGGTAGTTTCTCAGATAATGAAAATGAGGAACTTCTGGAAAGTCTCCTATGCTTATTCTCAACTCATTGACTGTTTTCTTGGCCTATGCTTCTCTTTATAATCCATCTGCCAAATATAGGGAAGAGAGTTCTGGGTTCTGACATAATCACATTGTGATTAAAGCCAATGTTTTATTTCATAAATATTTCCACGCCGAAATGCTTTAATAGCCCTGTTCTATTAGTGGCTTAGAAAATTGAATGAATGAATAAAAAGAACTGCCTGTTGTTTGGTCTTCTTTCTAACCTTTTACCTGGGACCAAAATTTTACCCTTTCTCATTTTTGTAATGCTTGTGCTATTGCTTTCTCCTAAGGACCCTAAAGAGCTGTATGGTTAGTAATTTATTAATTCTAATCAATCTCTATAAGCAAAGCAGGGTTAGGGATGCTTTTGCCATTTCATAGATGTGGAACTAAGAATATATGTTATGTAATTTTAATAATATATAATAATACAACACAATAGGATATAGTATATATTGTATCCTATATAAAATACATAATCTATTATACAAAATACAGTAACATGGTACATACATTAAAAACATTATATATCTATTTAGTTATAACTTTAGGGTTGAAACCAAAGGGACATAGACTCTAACTTAAGGCTTTCCTCTGTATGTTCTTATCCTCTGTGTTGAGATCTTAGTTTTAGCAGCAGCAGCTGTCTAGATAGACTCCCTATCTTATTTATTTTTTCACTGTGGCTTTTTTTTCTTCCTCTAGGTTTTCCACGATGATGATGCCATCCCTGGGTGGGAAGGGAAAATTGTAGCCTGGGTGGAGGAAGACCATGGAGAGAATTAATGCTGAGTATTGGATTGGGGGCTTATGGAACCTGGCACCCCCTGGCTGTTTCACTCAGGAAAGAGGACTAAAACCAGAATACACAAAGAAGTTTCTAATCTGTGCTGCCAAAACAGAAGCTTCTCCAAGTGTGACAGCCCCTGGCCACTACTGTTTCTGTGCCTGGCATATGTGGTACTTAAAATCCCCCCATCCACCTGTAGACCATGGGTTCATCTGGAGTTCCTTGTCCGTGGGAACACAGTGTTTTATTCTACTCTGAGGACAACAAACCGAAGGCCTTAACCAATGGGAACGGATGATCCCGCTCCTGTCGGGGCATGGCTGCTATTATCTGGAACCTGGGAATTGGATGCATCACTCCTATGTGTTACAGTATTATTTTAATTGGCCTCAATGGTTGCAGCGATCAGAGTTCCAGCATTTGTACTCACAGACAAGGCAAAGGTACCAGCTTTTTTGCTTCTTTGCAGCTATTGCAAACCAAGAGTAACTCATGAAGTGGTACCAAAGATGAATGCCCACTCTTCAGGAATTTTTTGGACCGGACATGGATGGTGCTGAATTGTTGATTGGATGGAAAAAGGGCTGCCCATATTGTGCTATACTTTGCTAAAACCATGATGAAGTAAGACCTCGGGTTGCCTCTTGTGTCTTAACTGGTTCTGCAGTTTGTCCTTTAGCCCACAGAGGGCACATTTCATGTACTGCTAGTTTTCTCTGGGGACTCTTCCACTGTAGAGCCATTTTTTCCCCCTTCCAACTGACGAACTTTGTGTTTGAAAGGAATAAGGAGTTAAAGTCTCCTTAAAAATCTAGGCGGGTATGGAAAGGTGCTGCTACCCATATTTTCTTGACTTTCTTTCTCTCATGACTTCCTTTAGCTCATGGTATCTCCTTTGCAGTCAAAAGGAGACAGACCATTAATTTCAGTATTTGTGATTTATGAGTACTGAGCATGAGTTACTGGTCTGCCCCTCTTCATTTCAAGTTATTTTCTATTATATATTTAGTCTAGGTTGATCCTTGAGGGCACAGTAGGAACCATGGGGCATGAAGCATGAGTTGTGAATGGCAGGGTTGATTCTGGGTAAAAAAAAACCTTGAATCCTTTCTCATGTGCAACATTGTCAAGTGTAGAAGCTAAAAGAAAAGAGTTAAACTTCCAGAGATTACTTAATAACTTGGGTTTTCTCAGTCATTTACCAAGCACCATCAACTAATCAGCCATATACATATATATGTATCTATGTATATACATATATATGCGCACACGCGCACGCACACACGCACGCATGCACACGCACACACATTCATTCCCAAAAGCAGTCGGCCTGTGACCACTGATGTACACTGCCAACCAGGAGAGTCAGACAAGTCAGTTCTGGGTTCTTGACCTGTCTGTCTCTAGTTCATCTCCCTTTTCCAGCTATTTCAACAGACTACTCATTGGAGCTCTGAAATGACATTTTGTTGTTTTATATAGATGTGTCTTTTAAAAATAGGTCATGTTTGGAGAATTCTTTTGTACTCATTTGCTTTTTGTCTGAGAACCATGTCTATTTTTATAACTTGAGTGTGAGTTCTGTATGTTCTCACATTCTGTATACTGTATCCATTTTCTAGAGAACCCAGTAGCTTTTATACAGGCTCTTCTTACCCTTGTGGTTTCAGAACAAGCTTTATTTTATTACAAGTATACTAATGACTAACTCCTGGTTCTAATTTTACCTGCCATTTTGATTGTGGAGGTAGTTTTACGTAATCTATTTGATTGCTCCTCTAGCAGACAGAAGGAGCTCAAAAGATACCTGATATCTTTCAGTAAGTTTACTTAATCTTCTCCTACTGAAGAATTTCTCATTAGAAATGACTGGGAAAGTTTGGGAAAGTCAGTCAAAAGCAAGAATAATTCATTATGAAAGCAAACAGAAGAAAAGAGGACATTCTGAGTCTGTCTCCCCGCACCCCCCCCCCCCCGGAAGTCTGGAGAAAAGGTCCTCATGTCACCGATTTCTCTGTTGCATGAATTTTAGTGTTTTGCTATAAGACAGCATGAAGGTTATCAGGCCAAAATTCGTTATTGTATTTCCAGTACGATTTATCTTGAATATCTGTCTCTTAAGTTAGTTTTTACTTGTCAGTTTTCTTGAGCAAACATTCTCACCATTATGTAGAATTTAGCTTTTCAGAGAAAATTAAACGAGAGAGAAATTTCAAAGTCCTCTACCTTATTTGGCTTTTATATCTCTGTCCCTTGGAAGAGGAGCTCCATGGCCTTAGTGCCTCCATAGAAAGCTGAAGTTGAGTTCCGGGGTGAGAAGGAGATACTTTTTCCCCTTTAGCTCAATAATCTCATATGCCATGGGTAATAACTAAACACCCCCATTACAGGGTGTCGCTCCAGTAATTTTTGTTTACAATGTGTTGGTAATCCCCATTCCAGTTTCTCAAGACAGGAACCTTCTGAGGAAGCGTGTGCATCGGTTCCTTCTGGTTTGAAAAGATTTTTGTTTTTTACACTATGGCTGCACTCTAAGCCTCTTGACTTATTCATAGTATTGTCCCCTGGTGACATTTGTGTGGGATAGTTCATCCTAACACTGAAATTCTCTTTTTTTGAAAAAACTAAGGAACTAGAATGTTTAGAGTTCATAAAATAACCTCTAAACCTGTGAGATTAAAAAAAAAGATCCTCTCACAAAAACTAATTTAGAAGAAAGCTCAATTCCTTCAAAAGTCGTCATTTAAAAACTGATGACTATTCTCACTCAGGTCCCTAAATTAGCTGGAATTGGAACACTTTACAATTTGTACCTAAAGAATTTGGGTTAAACTCAGTTAATGGCATTCCTACTTACTGATTAACATTTCAGCTCTTTTTGACCAGGATGGTTGTAAATTAGGGAGAATATCTTTATGTTCTACATCCAATCCAAGAGGACTCTAATTACTTAAGAGCATTTATGTTGTAATTATAATAATTTTCATTTTTTCCATAAAATAAGCGTTATGATTGCACACTCCTGTTGTCTGAATTTATGTAAGAGGTATAGCTTGCTTAAAATATATATGTAAAGTTATATTTTCTTAGAAACATGGATGTTTGCAACCATTGCTTTCATAGAGATTACCACCATGCATTCTCCCTGTTTTGTTTTCATGAAGACTGTGTTATACCAGAGGCTTCTGATTATCAAAGTGATAACCAGTTTTAACTGCCTGTATGTACCAGATTTGTGAACTAATTTAAAAAAAAAAGGCAGAAACAAACCATGAATAAAATGGAGTTTGCAAACTAAATACCATTAATCATTTTCACGTGTGTTTATTGACTGAAATTAATCAGCAAAGCCATTTACATTTAGTGCAAGTCAATTTCCTCAAGTGATCTCCCTGGGAGCATGTTTACTCATTACCTGGGGAACAGAGATAAGGATTACTTTATTGCTATAGATATTTTACCATTGGCATTTCAAATGTAAGCGCAAAACACGTTATTATTGCCAAAGAAAATTCACTGATTTAGCACTTCTTTTGAAATTATATATAAATGTGCAAACAAAAACCTGAGTACAAGCTGTATGACAAAAGTCTTGAATGAAAAAGCGAGAAACATTAATTGGAGACTTTCAGAAATGCCTATTTAAAAGAACCAGAATTTCCAAACTAATCTGAAAGCTGCCTTCCTAAAACTTAGGTCAGCTTCATTTATCACTTCAATTTAAATGTTTTATGTATCTACATTTGTAGTCCTGAGCGTTTACTTGACTTGCAATTACATATTTTCAACTATTAATTACAAGCCATTTTAATTAGGTCATTAAGTTAAAATTAAATATGTAAAGAGCTTAACTCAAATCTTTCACTACTCAGTAATTCCTCTTTCCATCTACCCATTTCCTATCGGTTGTCACCATTCTACAAGTCTCTCTACTTCAAACCTTAGAGCTTTGGCCTTCCTTTTCCTTAAATTCTGTTACCAAATCTGTTTAGGGGAGTTCAGACCTATTCTCTCAGGGCTGAAAACCTAAGATTTCCTAGCCTATCTTTGGGGTAAACTTACCGCCCGGACTGTTTGACCTGTGCCCTCCTGTCATTTACACCTGTCAAAAGTATATTCAAGGGGCGCCTGGGTGGCTCAGTCGTTAAGCGTCTGCCTTCGGCTCAAGTCATGATCCTGGGGTCCTGGGACTGAGCCCCGCATGGAGCCCTGCATCAGGCTCTCCGCTCAGCGGGAAGCCTGCTTCTCCCTCTCCCACTCCCCCTGCTTGTGTTCCCTCTCCTGTGTCTCTGTCAAACAAATAAATAAAATCTTAAAAAAAAAGTATATTCAAATACAAACCCAGGTTTAAGCAATCCTAAGGAAGTGAACAGCAAACCGAAGATAGTATCATACAAAGGCTAATTTAGATCCAGTTATTAAATTCAAATACAGTGGAAGTAGTAAGATATTCTGGTCAATTCAAAATCATTAAAACATTTTCATAATAATTTATAAAGTTATAGTATAAGCCCTTTCACTAATCACAATTATTCTTCCAATAGTTATTGTTTTACATAATTGTAATATAATTGCTCTACTCTTATAATTTCAAATGTGCTTTTCCATCTAAACTGGAAATTTTTTATTTCTCAGTTGTATTGCCTACATATTACTGTTGGGCAGCTGTGACTGCCTGAACTTTACTCATTTTTGGTGAGTTATGTTTATCAGTTCTTTTTGTCATAAAGACACTAAGACAGTTTTTACCCTATTCTGAATGCTTTAAGAGTACTAGAATAGGCTTTTGGGGAAAGATGTAAACATTTTTTCCCAGTCTGTTACTTCTTATACTGCCATCTATAAAGACAACTATTGTATTTGGTCCACTCAACGAGTGCTTTTTCTTTATAATCCCATTAATACTGGGTTTTTGCTTTTTTTTTTTTTAAGATTTTATTTATAAGAGAGAGACAGATCGCGAGCACAAGTTGGGGGAGAGGCAGGCAGGAGAGAGAGAAGCAGACTCCCCGCTGAGCGGGGAGCCCGATGCGGGGCTCGATCCCAGAACCCTGAGATCACAACCCCAGCCAAAGGCGGACGCTCAACCGACTGAGCCACACAGGCGCCCCTGGGTTTTTGCTTTTTAAAGTTTACTACTTTAGTAGGTATGAAATAGTGCCTCCTGGCTGTTTTAATTTTCCAAATGTTTAATTACTAGCAAGGTTGAACATATTTTCACACGTTGGTTTTTCCTATTTTTTGTGTTCGTGTTCTACGACCATCTGTACAATGGGGACGTATAAATACAGCACGTGCTACCTCCTAATCTAATGTCACCCTCAGCTTAGAAATGAGGTATTTTTCACTTGTAGTATGATAACCCTACAACAGAAGTATACCTAACAAATGTTATAGATAACTTCTCGTTTATTAATTCAAACGACATGCCTTCAACCTCCATTATTTACCGGATAGTATACTAAAGTCTGTAGTTTTGTACGAAATATTTCAAGCATAACAAAGCTTTTTGCGCTTTAAAGGGATTCTATAGTAAGTCAGAAACGCAAATCTGTTTTGTAAACTTGTATCTTCACACAGCATACATGCTTAGTCCCGCTGCAGCACACCTTAACGGGGCAATGAATCTTCCGTTTGGCTGCTCTTCACACCATTTGGCTGGAAAACCTGTTCACTCTGGTTTCCGGTTATGCTACAAACCTGAAATTAAACGTCTGTAAATTGATACCGGCCGCGCGGAGCGAGGCCCCGAACCTGGCCACGGCTGGGTCGGCAGAGGCGGACCGCACATCCCCAGAACGTTCTGACCCCCTCGGACAGCTCCGCGCGCCAGCCTCCCCGAGCGCTCCGGGACACCGCCCTTGGCCTCCGGCTCCCTTCCCCGCTTTTCTCAAAACTTGACCACTCCCTCTCAGCCCACCTCTCAGGCCATTCTGCCTCAATCAGCCAGGCTCTCGCGGTCTTTTTAAGCCCCTCCCTGACGGCCGTGCCCTTCCCGTCGCTCAGGCACCGTCCTACCCTGAGATGCCTGTCTTAGGATCCCTCTACCTTCCACCCTCTCCGCGTCTTATTT